TCAACCGAGTCCGCAGTGAAACATGAGCGCAGAAGCCGTCGGTGCCGGAGCGCTAATTGAGTGCGGTAACGCGGCGGGAGTCCAGCCGGCGCTTCAGGTGGTTGACATTTGCTGAGCCCAGTGGGCAGCCGCCGCTAACCGCTAACCGCCGACGCCAGCCGCTCACTCTCGCTTGCTCTCTCCAAGCTCTCAAGTTGCTCCGGCTCGCAGATACCGTATTTCACTCCGTTTATTTATTCCGTTTGCCAGGCGTGACATTCCTGACGTCATGTCTGTCCGTACGGGCGAGTCAAGTCGACAGAAGAGACTAAAAGACACTTTGCGAGCCCTTTATCGTCACGTGCAAATCGGTTTCTCGTGTACACTTGATATTATGTTGACTTGCGTAGACGGGTCGATTTTTTTTTTTTTATGCCACCGTAGCTTGTTGGTTGATTGGTTAGGTTGGCGCCTTAGTTAGTTATTCTGTCAATGAGTTGTTAGCTAGCTAGTTAGTTGGTGGTGCGGTTGCTTGCGCCGCGTTGATTTCGTTGGATGACAGCTTCGGTTTGGTGAGCTAGACTTTCGGTTAGTTGTTGGTTAACTATTCAGTTTTGATTAGTGTCAGTGAGTTGGCCAGTTTGGCATTTTTGGTCGTTGAATAACTGAATTGTTGGTCAGCTACTCGGTCTGGTTCATTGCTCGGTGGTTGGCTCGCTATTTTCCTTGGCGAGATTTTTGGGAAGTTGGATGGTGTGTTGTGTAATTTGTGGGTTAGTTATTTCATCTTTTGGTTAGTTGGCAGGAAGTCGGTTTGCTTGGTTGTAGGTTAGTTGCACAGTGGTTTGTTTGGTCGGTTGTTAGGCGAGGTAAAATGTGGATTTTTGAGGAGATTGGTTGTTTAGCTCTTCCGTCCATTGATTCTTGGTTAGCTTGTCAGTCTGGTTTGTTGGTTTCTAAGTTGGTGGTTTTTCTTTGTTGTTGTCAGTTTCTTGATTTAGTTGGATGGTGTGTTGATTGGATATTTAGCTATTCTGGTAGTTGGATTTAAAGTCACTTTGGTCAGTGCTTTAGTGGATAGTTGGTTGGTTAGCTTGTTTTTTTTTTTGTTTTTTTGTTTTTTTTTGTCAGATCTTTGGTGAGTTGGTTAGAATTTTTTGTTGTCATCTCCGTACGTGGGCTTTTTAATTTCCTCCTCTGTCAGTGCGCAGCTGACTTCTAACATTTGAAGTCCACGTTAAAGTCGGCGCCTTTGAGCGGTCCGAAGCAGTGCGGGGGACTCAAGTTAACGACGGGCGTCAGCAACTGCGAGCTTGTTACCTCCACCAAGGCGCTTTTGTTCTCCGCGGCGTGAGCTCGTTCATTTGTTGTAGGTGGGCATTTTTCTTCTTCTGTTTCCAAGACGAACTTTGGTGGTGTACAGTTGCAGCACTTTGTCGCTGAGGATGATGATGACGATGCTCGCCGTTAGCCTTTGCGGCCCTTTGAATTCGCCCCACGGCTCTGCTGGCGCGTAAATAATTGATCTGGATTTTGAAAGGGCAATTAAAAGGAGCAGCGGGAAAAGGGAGGAGGCGTCCCGTCGCTCTGTTCGTGAGTCATGACGGCTGACGTTCACCGAGCGAACACATTTGCTCCGTGACGTAAGCCGAGTTGCTCTCTTGATGAAACCTTTTTACCAAAAGGTGTGGCAGATTTTTTAATTTTTTTATTTTGATTCCGCTTATTTTTGAGGGGAAAAACAGGCTTCATGAGAATATACAGTCATCTGGAAACAATGTGGCATTGAAAAAGAAAAGTCATCATGGTATGAAAGTGATGTCATCTTACAAGAATAATACATTTTTTTTCCCCCTTCCCTTCTTCTTCTTCTCCTTTCGGCACATCCCTATTCAGGGGTCGCCACAGCGAGTCAGTAATTTCCATCCGCCCCTGTAAACCGTCCTACCAACTCGCATGGTCGTCTTGGCAAAAGTTTTACGCCGGATGCCATTCCTGACGCAACCCTCCCCATTTCTCCGGGCTTGGGACCGGCACTGGGGAACAGTGCACCCCCAGGGGAGGGCACTGCCCCCCAGCGGCTGGGTTTTTTTTCCCCCTTCCCAAAAAGTTGAAATATTACGGCGCTGTAGTTTTTATTTTATGATGATTCTAAAATACTAATATTTTATACTAATGCTTATATTTAATAATAATGTATTTATTTATTCATATATTAAAAATACTAATACTTTATACTTTTTTACTAATTAAATACTAATAACGTTTCTACTACTATTTCAAGGCAAAAAAAAATAAATATTTCGTCAGTGTCAGCACTGAGAGTTCAAATATTTCCAAAACGACATTTTATTTATTTATTCATAAACACAAAAAATGGCAACCTTACAACAATGAATTCTTAATTTTTTATTTTATTTTGATCTTTTATTTCCTGATCTTTAATTTTTATTCTTATTTTTGGGATGCTATTTCTCCTTTGGCCACAAGGTGGCCGCACCATGTCTAAATTGGAAAGATTACAGTTATGTTCTGAAAGTTTATTTTTTATTTTTTATTTCTGCCCTTCCCTCGCAAGATGAAAGTTGTATGCAACTTTTGTTTTGTGCGCAGGGCTTCCTGAAGAGCGAGCGCGTGTGCCGCATGGTTCAGAGCGGCAGCTGCTCGGCCGGCGACTTCC